AACACTCTCCGACCTTTACTATCCTCACCACCCACCTTCTGAAGGGTGCACATTTCGTCGTCAAAAATAAGGCATTTTATGCGGTAGCAGGATCTTGGGAAGACAATTTTAGTAATGTTAATTCATATTTCTTCAGAAGTGTGTGGTAGTCGGGTATTGAGAAATTGAAAGAGAACTCGAAGAGAAAAAAAAAAAAAAAAAATGTTGATATTTAAAAATGTGCGGTAGCGAGGGTAGTGGAAAATTAATAAAAAATATTGAATAAATATTTATTTAGATTTTAAAAACTGTGTGGTAGCAAGGGAAATTGAAGACAGAAAATCAGGAAGTCTCCATTAAAATCTGGGGTCTCCTATGAAAAGATTGGGTTCTCTAAAGAAAATATGGAGTTCTCTAAAGAAAATCTGGAGTTCTCTAAAGAAAATCTGGGGTTCTCTAAAGAAAATCTGTCTCTTCACACTTTATATAATTACATTTTCTACTGCCTGGATACTAAACTATCTATAGTCATTAGGTTCCTTAGTTACGATCAGACATATACAAACAAGCAAACAGACAAACATGGATTCCTACTTTATATATATAAATAAATCACATATGCTTCATTCATTATATAATTACTTTTCTAAAGTTACATTTAATTTCTGTCCAATAATTGAACTACCAAGATAAATAACGTCATGTCCTGTATTGTTTAAATCAACATTTTAAACTAATTTTCATTAAAATGCAAAAGTTGAAATTTTGGGTTTTGAACTATCCCGGTTGGNTACAATGTAGAGTTTATTTCATATACCAATTATTCAAATCAAATAACACTTGGTGGCTGAGTAATTTTTTTTTGAGAGATGGCTCTTAGTCCTCGTAATGTTGTGTTGAACCCTAAAGTTCTGAAATATGTCGGAAACTGGTAATTTCCGTGATAATTCTTAATATGAGTATTGGGCTTGTGGTGCCCCATATATCTTTTATTAATGGTTGCCAGAATCTATTTATATCTCTAGATTTTCCTGAATTCATTTTAATTTCTTGTAAAAAATGTATAAAGTATATGTTTTTCCCAAATTAGTTTTCTTTAATAAAGACAACATTTAAATATAATGCGGGTTGACAGGATCCATTCAAGGATACGTACACGGATAAGTACAAGGATATACGCACGGGATAAGTAATCATAAATTGAAATAATTAAATTTCAATGCAAGCTACAATTGATACAACATTGGTAAATGAAAATAATATCAGAATATATTAACTTGGTCTCAGCTCACCATGAAACACAAGAAAATGCATTTTAAGAGGAGTATTGTGACAAAAACCATTCCCCCCCCCTGGCCCCCTAAAATACCCCTCCTTGCAGCGGACGGGACTAAAACTTAAAAACCCCTTGCACTAGAGCGCTCAAACCTCTGAAATTTTAGTTTGAGAACAAATTTAGCTAAAAATCTACTTTTTTATTATTTGAGATTTAATTAGGGTTATTATTATTAATTTTCTGTTAGGTTGGGGCAGGAGAATTTCTAGTCATTATATACTGCGACTGGGAGAGGCTATTGAGGGCAAGCTTTGTTGCCACTTTCATAGACCAAGCACCGTAGCTAGATAGCACAAGCTTGGGGACCTGGGAACAATTTTTAGGGTTTATTTTTAGGTGCACAATTAAACTTTAGTTTTTATACTTGTTAATTTGAAGTATTTATATTTTTTAATTTAAAGGTAGTTATCAATGCGGTCAATAATCACCAAAATACAATTTTACTGTACAATTGTACCAGCCTGTATGTACCCCTATGTACCAAGTATAATGAATGCAAATTATTTAGCAATACAATAATATAAATCATTGCCCCAAAAACATGTGAGTGTATGAAAAGTCTTATCTTTTGATTATATTCAAAGTTTTCAAAGGAAGTAAAATCAAATTAAGATTTCTATTTTTTAGTCTATTTATAAAGTTAATCTTTAAGATTTTGCTCATTTTCTAACACTCATTTTTAATGGAAAAGATACCATTATTATGGTAACTGTGTTATTTTTTATGAGTTTTTGCCTTAAATTTCATATTAAACATAATTTTTGAATCTCTTAGTTGGTAAATTCAAACCTGAAAACTGTTCAACGAAGTGCCCAGGGTGAATACAGGGGGGGGGGGCAATGGGAGCAGTGTGGATTTAGCTGAAACAATTCCATTCTCAATTCCATATACTGAAAATTCCCATTCTGAACTATGAAATATTGATTTTCTCCCGAAGTCTTATTAAAATACGGAAAACCAAATTTGTTTACTAATATTTATTAAAAACATTGACTAAAAGCAAATTAACAGCAGACTCCTTCGTCAGAAAGATCACAGCAGTAAGTCTCTGCTCTCTCAGTAAGAACTGAAGCAAGAACGGGCATGGCAGCAGGCATGAAAGCATCAATGTAGACACCACATCCCTCAGCAGCTCCGGTTCCAACACAGAAACCATCTCCCTAGTTAAGAGAGTATTATTAGTTGAATTAATTTAAGTTAATTTATGATATATCTGTCAGACTGAATGAGATTTAAAGATGTATTACCTTCAAGAATTCAATGATTTCAGCAATTTTAGCTTCAGACTCAATGACACCGGCAACAGTAGTGATACTACCAGCACATTCATCACAGGTTGGTGCTTTCACAACACTCTTCTGTCCACATGCTCCAAGAAGTCCACAGACACTGTTGGCCTCAAGGAAGACAGGGTACATGGCCAAAGCTAAACAAAAATAACTTTTATCCAAATTCTTTAATCAAGATTAGTAGAACTTTAAGATGTGTTTAAATCTACTGAAGACCTTACCAATTCCCTCCCACCAAGTTCTTACTCCAGTCTCACATCCAGCAGGGTCATCAAGAAGAGGACAGACACTAGCAACAAGAATCTCAACTTGCTCCTCGATGCTTCCAGCACTCTGGAGGTAACCTCCAAGCTTGCCTAAAGATAATTCTATTGCAAAAGTTCAATTAATGGAAATGTTAACTTAGTCCTCCTTGAGTGTAAATCTATTTGATTGAAATTTTTTAATGTATGTTTTGTTCTTGTTATATGTTATTATTTTCTTTTAGATTTTAGATTTGACTGACTTTGTGGCTTTAATTAGGACTTTTAAGTTAAAAGTACCAATAAATATATAGACACATTTTTTAAATTATGAGATCACAATAATAAAAAATATTAACATAATATACAATTTTTTGGTAAAACATACATTTTTGTAATACAAGTTGTTTTGATACACCCAAAAATGTTTATATATAAGAAAACACTTTTACAAAGATTTTTTTAATTTTCAAAGGCAATCTGGGAAATAAAAGTAATATCAAATGTAGTAATTATAATTTATATTAATTAAAATAACAGATGTTGTCTTTTCAAGATTTAGACAGAGTGAGAGTCTGCACTATGCCGACTCAAAAAACTCTTAAATCCTGAAAAGACAACATCCATGGTGTTCTATCTGTTAATTTAATTAGTCTATGTAGTTAATATTATGTACTTATTTTCAAATTATTCAAATACCTGCAAAAGACAGGCAATCGTCACAAGTAAACTCAGCGCTGAAAATAAAATCATCAGGAAGAGAATTGCATATCATGTAGAAATAAAAAGTTAGTTGATATTTTCTTTATCGAAGAATTATTGAAAAGTTTGCCTCTAGTGTCGATTTTTTAAATTCTTTAAGTAGAACCAAAGACTGGTATAGATTTAAAAGCATTCAGCTACAAGATACAAATCAGACATCAACTCTAGCTGGGTTTATCATTAATAGAATCAGACCTTTGCATGAAATATAGTACAATTAGACGATTATAATTTTCTTGCATGGCAAATGAGTTGATCTTATGCTAAACAATTCTGAGGGCTTTAAAGCGTTTATTTTAATGAAATTATCAATTTCTCTAAAACATTTTGAAATTAAGAAAGAATAATACCTGGCAGAAGATGCAAGGCAGGCAAGGGCAACAAGGATGAACATCTTCATGTTGAGAATTCTTCTGTTTCTTCTGAAGGAGGAGAATAGAATGGAATAGTAACTTAGTGTTCAGATTTTTATAGGTAGTGTTATCTCAACATATAATTTATGTAAATATTTTATTTATTTGTTTATTTAAATTTATATTACAGAAACATGACAGAGATGATCAGAGGGAAAAATTTGAAATTTATTATAAATTTTCTTTTCCCTATTTTCATTTTTTTCTCAAAAATTGATATTTTTTCCTTAAAAATCTAAATTTTCTCCAATTCATTGTTAAAATTCTAAAAATCATAAGTAATATCTTGAGAAGAAATATTTTTTATATAACATCTGTGGAAAGAAATGGTTTTCAGAAGGGGGGGGGGGTAATATACACCCCTGAAATATAAAGAAAGATAGGTATATTTGTGTATTGACGCAAGACAAATGTATATCCATGTGGCCTCTGATTTATTTTGATTTGTTTGAAAGCTATGGAAAAAAGAGGGAGAATTAAAATTGCTTGTAAAAGATTTGAAAAAAAATTGTAGGTTTTTTGATTTATTTAAAAAGCTGCTCTTTTTAAATATTACGAAAGACGTTTTTTTCAAGGATGTTTTCATATTTATTAATATCATCATTCCTTAATCATTTTTGGCTGAAGGATCAGAATTAAGAAGAAAATTGAATGATGGTAAGTAACTTTGTTGGTTTTTGTAGAAGAATAATCTGTATTCTTAAAGGGACTGTAAAGGAAAAATGAAAGGGGGTATAGGATGAAACCTGAGAATCTCAGATCTTGAACAATACAAATAAGACATTTTTGTTGATGTTTCTGTCTCGAGAAATTGATATAAAACTGTGTCAAAATTATACCAAAACGTATATATATCAAATTGCGTATAAGAGTAGTATTAAACAGACCATATTCAACAATTAAACAACCAATCTGATAACTATTATATCCCACATGAGCCTTAGAATCTCAGATTTGGTCCTGTTATAATTTTTATTTTGCATTATTAATAGATATAATTAATAATTTTATTACGTATAGTCTGTACAGTCCGTTTTACGTCGCAAGAACTTCTGCCAATAGCAGTGTGGTATTTTTGTCACATCTATCATGGGACCAGTATACGGAACTGCCATTTGCCGAAGTTTTCGTGATAGATGTCTTATATGTGTCATTCAAAACATCAAAACCTGAGATTCTCAGGTTTCAGACTATTCCCCCTTTCATTTTTCCTTTACAGTCCCTTGAAGAAGAAGACTCCTGGACTGATATTGGACTAAGACAGAATCTTTTTGGTATGAGGCAAAATTCAGCAGAGACATGGGCGAAGAAACTGTGAACTTGGGCAGAGAAACTGTGAACTTGGGCGAAGAAACTGTGAACTTGGGCAGAGAAACTGTGAACTTGGGCAGAGAAACTGTGAATTTGGGCAGAGAAACTGTGAACTTGGGCAAAGAAACTGTGAACTTGGGCAGAGAAACTATGAACTTGGGCAGAGAAACTGTGAACTTGGGCAGAGAAACTGTGAACTTGGACAGAGAAACTGTGAACTTGGGTTGAGAAACTGTGAACTTGGGCAGAGAAACTGTGGACTGGGATGGAGAAATTGTGGACCAGGGCGGTGAAACAGTTGACTAGGGCGGAAAAACTGTTGACAGGGGTGGAGAAACTGTTGACTGGGGAGGAGAAACAGTTGACCGTGTGGGAGAAAACGAGGGTGCTAAAGCGTCGGGAAACCCGTCGGTTGCAGCGCAGGGTGCAATTTAAACTGCCCTTCAGGGGTGTACGAGTTTGAAAAAGATATTGATACCATTTTTAACTATGTAAACATTCGATCATATACACACTTCCATATTACAAGCGTTATAATAAATTATTTATGTAATTTTCTTAAGAGGGGGCACCATGTTGCCAAGGGGGGGGGGGGCACAAAATCAGGCAATCCCTCTTAATAATGTGGTGCAAGTTTCAAGGGATGAAAAATATAGATGGAAATGTTTCTAAAAAATAACTATATTTTCATAGGATTGATACATATTGTATTATAAATTATGATATCAAATGTATATTTACACTGAAGGCAGTATTGATTAAAGCTTTTTTAATGAAACTCTTTTAGTTAAGGGCAAAAGTGAGATTTTAAAGTATTTTTTTTTCTATACGATGTAATTATACTTAAATGGAATACATGCGGAATTTCAAGTGATGGCATGTCCGATGTACCTTTGAAACCTTCATTTCACCATCGTTTCTGAAGCAAGAAATGCTCGAGTCACTTTTGTAATAAAACCACAACAAAAAATATTCAGTTTTCAAAATGGGAAACATGGATATTTAATGCAATGCTTGATCAGACAAAGCTTTGAAGGGTATTGTTGTGAATCAGAACATATTTTTTTCTTTTCATAATCGTGGTCAGACTTTAGGCTAAATTTACTTTTACTAAAGGGTAAGGGGTGCGTGACTGCGCAGTTATTCTTGAAGAATGGCAAGACCTTAGTAATTGCAATGCAAAATCGAAATTGTCTTGCAATAGAGAGGCCTGCACAAAAACGTTTTGCCTGGTCTTGGAGTTTGGGCGCAAGTTTCCAATGCATGCAAGACAGACTGCTTTAGGTCAATTATCATTATAATTATCATTATAACAATATTCTTAATCATTTTTGTGTAACTTGAAACCTTTATCTGTTAAAATAAAATGTGAATGAAATGATAATTTTTTTCTCTTACTTATTATAATGACAAAATAAATTTTCAACTATGTACAATGTACATTGTACAGGGTGTCTCAAAAAAACTGTGCAGTAGGGGTATTAGTAACTGAGGAAACAATTTTCGTTCAATTTTTACGATCAAGGTTTATATTCGAAAGCTCTATAATTCAATTATATCATAATGTAAAATGTTTCCTTCTAAGCTTCATACTTTTTTTTTTGTTACAACCAATTATTTGAACGTAAGTCGAATTCGATTTCCCGGATTTTTCGATTTTTCGATTTTTCACGTCTCATTTTCATTCGTTCATAAAGTATGAAAAAATTTAAAAGTTTTCGATTTTTTTTTTTAATCATAAGCTGTTAGTCTTAGGTTTCATTTTTAACTAAAATTTTGGATCAGCGATCATTACTTTTGGAGCTACAGCAATATAAAAATATAATATGCATTAAAAAAAAACGAAAAGAGAGCTACGGGTACCACCGTACGAAGCTTGCCCAGACCACAAAAATATATTTTTATTAATTTTATTTTTGAAATCAGTTGGTACAATCCACAGCTCGCTATTTCAATCAAATTTTTTTATCTAACCCACCAGGGCACAAAAATAAAACATGAAATTACAAAAAAAGGTTTTTAAAAAATCACCGCTTTAATTTAAAATATTTTTACTTTAGAAATGATATTCACACTTTTATTTGTTATTAGTCCATTTTTATGATAGGTTCAAGGTATCAGGTAGTTAGGTAGGTCAAAAATGGTGTATGCTTTTTTAATGGGGCCTTCTAAGGGACTGTTCACGCATAAAAGAACACATTCTCAAATGTAACCCTGTGTCTTAGAGAATACAAGCCGTCCAAGGTATCGTTTTATGGGTAAAAGCATATGCATGTTTCAATAATGATATTGGTTTTTGAAAAAATTTACCACCGGGGTCATTATCCGCCAATTTAATTTCTAAGGGGTCATTTTAGGAGGTCAAATTATATTAATAGCACACAAACATCGTCATGGAACTCTAAACAGGGGTAAAGGCCCATGGTAAATCCATTTTCAATCTTTTTTTCGAAAATTTGACTCCCGAGGTAACAACTGTCCACTTTGACCTCCAAGTGGTCATTTTGGAGGTCATTTTATATCAATGGAGCACTCATACCGTCATGGGTTCCGAAATAGGGTAAATCCACACGGTGAATCCATTCTCACTATTTTCATGTCATTAACATTTCTGTCGACGGCACTTTTGACCTTTTCGATCTCCAAGTTGCCATTTTGGAGGTCATATTATGTCAATGGAGCACTCATACCGTCATGCGTACCGAAATAGGGGTAAATCCACATGGTGAATCTATTCTTACAATTTTTATGTTATTAACATTTCCGTCGACGGCACTAATTGACCTTTTTGACCTCCAAGTGGTCATTTCGGAGGTCATATTATGTCAATATGAGCACTTATACCCACATATATACCCACAAAAGATTGTATGTCGTTCAAAAGTACTTTGAGGTTAATTAGTTTTTTAAAATTTATTCTCACTATAATGAAACTTTCACGTTCTTAATTAAAACTTTTTATTTTTTTCACTTGCAATACATATTAAACGTGTGTTTAAAACATGGAGAAATATTAACTTTTTCTGGTTTAAATCCAAATGAAATTGCGTAAAAATAGTGAATTTTTTATCTTTTATTAAAGATGATGTATTTATCTCTAGATTGACGTTGTCCAACCACGGCATCTTTCCTGAAAAAAATACTTTAAAAAGAATCTAAAATGTCTATTTCATGTATATATATCTATATCTTTTTGTATATCGGTTTTTTGGATGTCCGATCATAACTCAGGAAACCCATGGATCGATTTTGCTCAAATTTTGAAACTCGAAGAGCAACGGGAATGTTTTTAGTTTTGCTTTAAATTTCTAAGTTTCGTAAAACTCGGGGCAAAGCTGGGTTCCCAAGCTAGTATACAAATATTGATATTGCCTTTGAGTTTTTCCAATTTATGTTGCGATGAACTAAACCAGTTCTCGGCAGAAATTCATGTTTACATTTCAAATGATTGTTTTTGTAAATCTGTCTGATCTGAGCAAAACATTAGTTGAGAAAAAATTGAATATTTTCATGGAATATTTTACATTTGATAAGAACTGTTAATTACAAGAACGAACCATTTATATGTTGAAGGGTTTGATAATGATATAATTACTGAACTCATTAAAATGTTAATTAATGAGAAATGATTAATGTCGAGTATTTTCACATATTTTATTTGTATAACTACACATGCATATATTTGAAAAATTATTTTACCCTAAACTTAAATTTTCTAATCTCTATATTTTTTAAACCTGATGGTGTAGACTTTTGATATTTCAAACTTAGATTATTTAATCTAACAGTACGACATCGGGTGCAAAGATTTTAGAATTAGAAAATCAGAGTTTGTGGCAAAGACTCAATTCCTTTCAGCTACGGCATTTATATTTCTGAAAAATGTATATTTGTAAATAGAAAATATTTTCATAACTTCGCTCCCTTTAACATAATACTATATCTTCCCCTTATCTGCTCTTTCAACTTGCTTATCACTTCTTCGGAAAATAAAGCTCTTAAATGCCGTGAATTATTTAATCTTATCATGAATTGTTGATAGAAAAGGGACTGTGACCTAAATCTCTCTATCTGAGTAAAAGTAATTGTCTCTCTCCAGCATAGACTTAAAAATAAAAATTGAAAATCTCTGTTAATAAAAATTATATCTTATTTATTTCAATGTTTAGATGATGCTATTTTTTTGTAAATTGGTTATTTTATGCGACTATGATTAAATTGTGATCGAAAGGCACAGCTTGCTGGGATAAACCAAACTGGTAAATCTGTGCGTACAGTAGACCCTTTAAATCAATTCAAACTAAAGTAGATTAAATATAAGATTGAACTCTCATACGTTTTAAATTGTAACTCCTCTTATTGAATAACAACCATGTCCTGAATTTCTAAGTATGTGACAGAATAGTTTTCTTATTTCTCATTTTCTCTTTTACTTGAGCGTCAATCAAAGCTAGAGTAGCTAATATGTATCAAAGTCGTATCAGAAATGTCGTATAAATTTGACCTTCTCCGTCTGTCATAGTTTAGTATGTAATCACACTAAACTGAGCTGGTGTGGTAGGTCAAATAGGCCTGTAGATTGACGTGTACTTCAAAAAGTCTGACCGAGCCATCAAAGTTGAAACCGAGCCGGCATGGGATAGGGTCGGGATGGTACTTGCCGCACATTACTGTGTCTGGTACAAGGGGTGGTCCGGTTCGAATTCAATTTGAATCTAGTCCACAGTGTAATGTACCTCTGATTGTGTGTGAGGAGATGCAGTTCAGCTTTATCAGAAAACATGTTGTCCAATGCAACCCGCCGCCCTCTGTATGAAAAGTTAACAGGGTTAATCAAAAAGTATTAAAAGATATAAAAATAAAGTTTAAAAATGGGATATTTCCCGCATGGCATAAATAATTATTTCTTCAAATCTACGGATGTAGACAAAAATATAAAAAGCTTTATCATTTTTTTTATTTCTCTTTAGGTTGCAACGCGGCGCACTTCAGCTAGCTAGTCCTATGTTTATTTATATATATGGAATATACCGTATCCATATATAAGGAATCTACTAAAATAAAGCTCTTAGGTCATATATATTTGTTATTTGTCAGCTGTAGCTGGCAAACCGGCAGAGGCGCAACTAGCACTTTTGGTAGGGGGTGCAAAATATTATTTTGTAATGGTCTGAGGGGTTTTTTTAAATAGGCTTTTTTTAACGTTTTGATGTCGAAAAAAGGGAAATTTTCAGTTGTTGCATGCAGATTTGGCTGTGTTCAATTCAAATGTTTTTTATTATATTAACGATATCAGTCAATCAATTCTTTTAATGTGTGCGCGGAGCGCCAAAGAAAATTTTTTAAGTACCTGGTTTAATAACAGATATAATTACAAGAAATATTCATTTATATATTCTGATAAAAAAAACATCAAAATACATATATAATTTTAATTATCTAAATTTAAAAAGGACAGATAATGTTAAGTTTTCTCCTGAAGTTATTAAATTTATGATCGAACATTCTAACCAGCATTCATAATCTTATTTCATTTTTGATTTTATAGAAGTTATTTCAAAGAAGATAAACAGTTAGAAGTTTGCCAGGTTCAGTCTCAGAATGTTCTCTAGATTTAAAACTGATTTTTTGCCACAAACCCAAATATTTTAATCCCTAAATCTATGCACCGAGATGGTGTAAACCTTTGATATTTCAAATTTAGAATATTTTACCAAAATAATTCAAAGTTTGAATACAGTTCGGAACTTTTTTACATTAAATGTTTACAATAGCTTTTAGCCTTGAGAATTCAGAAAGATAAAAATATTTTTTTTTAAACTGACTATAGAAGAATACACAATTTCTACAATAACTCTTTTGGTTTTATTATTCTGACTCCTGTGATACTGATATTCGCCAATCTTTTATTTAATTCTGCAGGGGGGGGGGCGCGCCCCCCCTCTCAGGTGTTAGGGGGGCACACCTGGCCGCCCCCCCCTAGTTGCGCCTCTAAACGACTGGACCGAATGGGTTTAATTTTGAGGGAACCCTTGAGTACCCCGGGGGTAACATAGGCTAAAATTTAATTTTTTTTTCAAAAACTCCTCGGGGAACACCAAGCACTTCCGCTATTTACTATATATACTATATAGTCAACTAAATGTTACCTATGTGAGGAAGGAGTTGACATTTTTTTTTCTGTGTTCAATCCACGGGAAAACATTATCTTTATCATAAATAAATAGTAAATAAATTATAATATTATCTTTATAAATTTACACGTCATTCAGACAGACAAACACTATCAAGGGTATCATTTAGAAGGCGACATTATGAAAGGCATATGTTATGGTAATTGAACTACTGTTTTGTGAACTACCAATTTTTATGAACACTTTATCATTTCAACTTCGCATTAGTTGTCGGGTAAGTTATGCAGACAACTTTTAGGGTGCATTTAAAAATAGTTTATTAAAATATTCCAAATTGTTTTGCGAAATTTTATAATAAAAAACAAAGACAACAATCACTTTAAAATGCTAAAATGTCCACTAGTTCCATTTATGACACAATCTTGTCACTTTCATATTTACCAGTTGTTTCGTTCATTTAAATACAATTTCTGTTAGCTTGTATCTTTTTTCCGTAGTTCCATTCATTCTACAATCTGTTAATTGTATTTTTTTTTTCAGTAGATCTTTCCATTACTTAATCTGTTAACTTGTCATTTTTCCAGTAGTTCCATTTTTTGCAAAATTTATTAACTTGTAATGTACAATACGATTATTTGTCACCTCTTCATGAAGAATTTGAGGAGAAACCAGATCTGAATCTTGAAACCAGCTCTTAATACACAAATAATAAGAGACTTTAAAGGGAGTGTTCGCGAAAAATAAAAGGGGGTATAGACTGACGTCGAAAAATATTCGATTTGGATTGTTTCTAATCTTACTTCTATCTGTTGTGTTTATAAGGAGAAAATTGTTAAAAACGACTCATACCGAAGAACGTAGCGGCCATAAAAATTCAGAAAGTTGAAATAATCGAGTCGGATCGTAAAAAAATAGATTTAATTCCAAACAAATCATTCAGATATCACAGCCTATAATCATTGATTTTTTCTAGGCAGTTGTATACATGGTTGATATTTCATAATATTTTTGGATTTTTAAAAAAATTAATATTTCGCTTACAACTTGTTTTCACAGCCGGCGCTAGATTTTCGAACATTCCTAGAAAATATGAAAATGTCGTCTTCATTTTCAAAAATTCTCGAAACAGGAATGAATGTTTTCAAAAGTAACTCTCAGATCATAACAAAAAAAAATATTATGAAATATCAACTATGTACAAATGCATCGAAAAAAATCGATGATTATAGTTTGGAATATCTGAATGATTTGTTTAGAATGCAATTGATTTTTAACAATCCACGAGTCGAATATTGCAACTTTCTGAATTTGTTTGGACGCTACGTTCTTGGGTATCGGTCGTTTTTAACAATTAACAATTAACAATATTAACGTTATTTCAAGTTAAAATTCGTTTATAAAGTGGCATGTATGGAACACTAACAACAACGGTACACTCCAAATTTGTATCTAACTAACATAGTGTGTTGATAAATTCTCATTCTTTAACAGATTAACCACAAATAATAACAATCAAATATCAATTAGAAAAAAAGAATATCTTATTTATCCTTGAAAAGGGTTTAAGGGTAAAGTTATGAATCTGATATGCTACTCTATAATCTATGCAAATTACGTAGATTGAATTATCAGATTTCTTTGATTAAATGATGAGAAGATTAGGGTTTAAGACGAATGATCAGGTTCTTTGTAAAAGTTTAAGATTTATTATAGCTGAAGATCTTTAAATTGAATTTAAACCTTGTTTGAGAGATCAACTCCAGGTTCAACTCCAGGTCCAGCAATACCCAACACACCTATACTACAGCTATTACACAGATTATATTACACTTCAAATTGCGAAATAGTTTATTAACTAAAGCTTAAGAAATTTTAACTAGATATATATATATATATAAATGTTTCCAACCTGCAACATTTTTAGTTCCACTTGAGCCCACAGTGTACATATTCGTTGAGAACTCAGTTAATCCCATAGGGGACTTAATGTGTCCATTATTATGATTTTTAACAATTAATTACCTTCATTACAGGGGGTCAATGGGGATGTAATAGATATAGCAGGGAATATTACATTGCCTAGGCTACCTTCGACCTTGTTTTGCCCCAAATGTAATATTCCCTCCTATATATATATGGCATCCTTGTTGCAGCCTTGCAAGAATAAAGAGATATGTCATTTTTTAAACAAAAGAATTGAGCCTTTGCCACAAACTCTGATTTTATAATCCTTATGCACATGTGCAACCCAAAGCAGTAGACCTTAAATATTTCAAACAATGAATTTTTTTAGATAAATAATCTTTGTTTTAAATATCAAAGGTTTACACCATCAGATTTCAAACATATAATGATAAGAAAATTTGAGTTTGTGGCAACGACTCTATTCATTTTATGGAGATTGTTCCACTACTAAATAAAATCTAACATTTGAATTTAAAAAAAATCAACCTTTTTCAGGTTTTAAAAACTGTAAAATCTATATAAAAATAGTTCTGAAATTAAATCTAATAAATGTTTTCGGAACTTCGTGGCAGAAAATTCGCAATCAATTAGATTGCATCTCTAGGGTTGCAATCTATAAACATTGCAATGCTGGTTTCAGGATAGCATTGAAAATATCAGGTATTCAATAGTGTCGTAAGTTTGTTAAAAAAATGGAGGGAAAAACACAGTTTTTGATTTACAAAAGAAATTACGCATTTCTGTTTTTTAACTTATCTTAATTGTTACAGTTCACTCTTGACTTACACCTAGGGTCTCCCATCGCAATTCCGTTGCGCGCAACTGTGCAGAATTGCGCGCCATTGTTAGGAGTTTACAGGGCTGCAATTGCGCGCACGTAAAATCCACTTGCGTTGGAAACCCTACTTAAGCCATGACTAGATGACCAAAAAATGACTTACTGAAATAGAGCCTCCAGTATCTCTAAGAGGAGTACAGAAAGTAATAGTTCGATAATTATCAGGATCTACGGAAAACAAATGGCCTCTAAAATCTGACCTGAAAAAAATCCTTCAGGTTATTTTTAATCTTTAAGAAGTATTTTTTTGTTTAGTGTATGTTAATACAATGTACACTGTGAAGAGCTAGAGCAAAGTTCACGGATATCATGTTTTATTATGTTTTTATTTATTTAAAGATTATAAATGGGATTAATATCAAACCACCTTTGAAGGTACCAGGCCCTGGGGGGGGGGCAGTACGACACATATTCTTCTATTATTTAGGATACATATACTTCTATTCTTTAGGATACATATTCTTCTACTATTTAGAATATATATACTTCTATTATTTAGGATACATATTTTTCAATTATTTAGGATACATATTTTTCAATTCTTTTGGATACATATTCTTATATTATTTAGGTTACATATACTTCTATAATTTAGGATACATATACGTCTATTCTTTAGGATACATATACTTCTATTATTTAGGATACAAATACTTCTATTATTTAGGATACATATTTTTCAATTCTTTAGAATACATATTCTTATATTATTTAGGATACATATATATACATACTTCCATTATTTAGGATACATACTCTTCTATTATTTAGGATACATACTCTTCTATTATTTAGGATACATACTCTTCTATTATTTAGGATACATATTCTTCTATTATTTACGGGCCCTTTTTGTCACATTTTACGTGACTCGAGAGAAGGTTTATGGCCCCACAAAATTCAAAAAAAATTGTACCCGAGAAAGTGTCAACATTTATTACTTTTGAAAATGCAGCAATTTAAACAAAAAAATCTAAACAAATTTTTTTTTATATAAGAATGGAAAATGGCAACTTGAGGAGCAATAGTTTTAATCTGAAATTGGCAATAGAAAAGGAGGTTCAAAGCGCCCTAAAAACTAGTATTTGAAATAACACTTCCAATTTGAAGGCTGTTAATTGTTTACAATCCTACCGGGTTACTGATATATTAGCGACCTCTTCTTCTCTTAAATTACACAAACATTTTCTTCTCATTTTTATCTGCAATAATTTTAATTTGTTTGAGTAAAATAATCACAATCAAATTATAACTTTAAAAGAAGAATAATATCAACCAAAACTTATCTTTTCTCCGACTCCAAGCAGCGTACATTTTTAACCATAGTCATAATTATATGAAATATAAAGGAGTAATATAAACCAGATATATACAGGATTAGTCTTTAAAACCGGGATTTATAGCACGTTTTCTAGAAAACAATTTGAATTGGTTTTTATCTTTTAGGCGGAAAAATACCATAAAAAATAAAGTCAAGGAAAATTTTTTTTGTGCATTAGAAAAACTGCGAAACTATTTTTTGTGAAAAATGATTTTTTTGAAAAACAAAATCAAATGTTAAATTAAAGCGTTTTTACAATAAAGCCACGAATATGTTCCAATTAAAACTGATTAAAACTTACTAAATCTTACAAAGATGGTAATACAATTTTAAATTCTAACAATTTTGTTATCTAAAATTTAATTTATAATAAGGAGTATTTTTTAACAATAAATAAATTTTTGATGTTTTAATTAGTTTTTTTTTAGATTTTGTGCAGATTTTCACTAATTTTTGCGGATATTTATTATTCTATTCGTCAATAGATTTTTTTAAAATTTTGGAACAAACGCCAAAAATATTTTCAAATTGAATTCTGAAGAATACCAAAAACAGTTTTGAATTTTAAAACCCCCACCTCCTAAAAGTTACCCCAATTGCACCTCTTGACGCTTGAGACGACCACTAGCTCTGTATTCGAATGATGAAAGAATTGAAGTTGTCAGGTTCTATCTTGTAAAATTGTATACTCCATCCTTCACAGTAAATATATATATGTTTGATCAATAAGCACTCAACCAGAGGCTGAATTTAAAGAATTTGAGCCGCGGCTTAAATATGGTTGGTTCCACTTAAATTGTTTTTTTGTTTCAAAAATTTATGCCGGCGCTCAATTGAGACCGGGTTTTGGTGGATTTGAGACATCGGCTCAAATTTAAGAAATTCGGATTCAGGTTTCCAGGATTGAGTGGACCAGCCGATGGGTTAAGCAAAGATCGCAGGAAACCCAAACCTGTGGATCTGGATGGCTACCAAGCCGCTGCAAGGATGCACTAAGAGCACAGGAAACCCGAACCTGTGGATCTGGATGGCTACCAAGCCGCTGTAAGGATGCACTAAGAGCACAGGAAACCCGAACCTGTGGAAAATGCAAGTAGCAGTATATCTATCATCGCTCATTAGATCATTGTTTTATGTAACAGCTTGTTCTCCTTTATTTCCGTTTTAATGCAATATAATTTTAATACAGCTTATACACTTTTTATTGTCGTACAAATAAAAAACACTGATTTGGCCAACTTCTTATACTATTAGTAGACTATACAATTACAGATTTTTGGACTCTTTGCCACAAACTCAAATTTTCTAATCACTATATCTTTGCAACCTGATGGTGTACAACTTTGCTATTTCAAACTTATATTATACGATCTATCAGAATTAAGAATACTTAGAATAAACTAAATAAATAAAATAAAGAGATCATTTTTTAGAATCATAGGAATTTAAATTACTTTGTTACATGGCTTTGATGTCAACAATCTACTTTACAGATGTGTCCTGGCTCAATGGAGCACGGGAACAATGCTGAAGATAAAGATAAAGGTAAACCAGCCAAGATTAATTGGGCGATCAATGCATGGGTCCGGTGCTCCTTGAACATGGCGAGAAGTCGCTCGCTGTCATGCGCCTTATTCTCTAAGGTGATCTCTTTATGATTTTCATAAGGTTATTTTCAGATTGAAGTGTAAATTATGTGTTCTTTAATCCCTTTCTAAATTAGTAAAATGAAAATTATGTTAATTTATGACCTTAAGTTTTGGAATGTCGCATTGTACATCTTTCTATGAAAAAAAAACCATTTCAAAACTGCAGTTTCTCTTTCATTTTGTTTATTGTAAAGATGTATTGCTCCGATTCCAAGATTTTTCTTTCAAAATTGTGTTTTTGCTGACATGATCAAATCCTGTTTTGCCGCAGGGGCGTATATAAGGATTCTTTAAGGGGGGGGGCGTTTGATTGGCATTTTCAACTCATTTCTGGCATTTACAAACTCCATCAAATAAAGGCTTCATTTAATAACTTTCAGCTTTCACTTTGTTTTATATCCTTCATTATAGTCATTCATTTTACATTAACTACCAAGAGCTGAAAAAAAACTGAATTAATTTTAAGTAACATAAAAAATAGCTTTACTCTAAGAGGAAAAAGATGTTACTTTTTTAAATCTTTAGAAAAGCTACTCTGCCAAAATTTGAAAAAAATATTGTCTTTGTTATATATTCTTATTTCTAATTTCTAAAATTTTCTTGTCGTCAATGTAGTATGTTAAGATATTAAAAAAATCCAATATGGAAATGACAGCATTTAAAAGTAAAAATGTATTCTTCATTGCAACTTTTCTCTATTAAAGAAACATCTAATTGTAATGACTATTACTTTAGAATTTAGAATCATTCAGAATATGTTGACTTAAAATCTGAAATATCTGAAATATCTGCACATATAAATTATTTTCGTGCAAATTTTAAAGATATTTAATTTTTTACATCAACATTTTTTTAAAAGGGGGGGGGGGGGTAAATAACCCCAATAACCATGCCCTATTTTTTTTCCTTTTTCATTTGATTTGTTATCACTTTTTAGGCTTACAAAATTTTTTGTGAGTTTTTCAGGGAATCTTTCTTTTGAAGTCATTTAAACTATTTTTCTTGTTGAATTTGTTCCTCTAATAAACATGTGTGTGTTTTAATAGATCTAAAATATCATAGGCCTGCTATCTTTTGTATTATTTTCAAATACATAAGTCTTGGCATTTGTTAAAATTATGATGTTAAAAAAGTGAAGAAGTTTTGGCGTTTTAAGCAAGCCATTTTTATGTTTTTCAGAGGTGGGAGGGGGTGGAACCCCCTCCCCAATCGTAATAAAGGGCTAGTTTAATTTTTTTCTTAATTCGGGTTTTAAGGAGAGTGCACATCAACAGGCGCGCAACTAGACATTTGGTTAGAGGGGGGCTAGGGGAAAATATTTGGCATTTTCTTCTCATTTTTATCTGCTATAATTTTA